ATCCTGCTTTCCCCCCCCCACCCCTCTGGGTGTATCATCCAATGCAAAACATCCATAGCCAAGAGTCATCAATCATGCTCTCCAATTAGATATTTTTCGAGGCAGAAGCTTCAGCCATCTAATCAGTCTGTGAAGAAAAGATGAACGGAATGTACTTTCGATTTCACACTGTTGCCCGCTCTTTGAAACATCTCCTCCTTCTTTCTGTTGTCAACTATAAAACGTGTATACAAAATGTTTTATGAGTTGACAGTCTGACTGAGACAGTGAAGCAACCTCTTCCCAAGCCATTGGTCAGCTTGAGAAATGTTTAAAAGGTAAGCTCTATTTCAAGTTGGATTCAAATCCTAATGATTACAGGAGAGCATCTGTGTAGAGGTTTTCTGGTAACAACATAAAACTGGTTTCTCACTGTCATCATTCCAAATCTAGTCAAATTGTCACAATACTGCCTGATAGTCATACTATTCCGTTTTTAATGTAGTATGATTTTTGCTTAGTTTAATAAAATTAGCCAAGTTTGGCTAAAGATTTCTACTTCCTACTTGGTGACTCCTGCTATTTTTCTTGAAAATATTTTGTCTTTTCCTGGTATGTTTGTTTTCAACTTCCCAGTTTACCCAATTGCTCTGAAACTCTCCCATCCAAAGACTAATCAAACCTTAAACCAGGGGTATCAAACTCAAGGCCCGCATGCCAGATCCTGCCTGTGATGTGGTCAGATCTGGCCCGTGGCGTATCCTGGTCTACCCCAGGTGAAGAGGAAAGATCAGGCCAGTGTGACTTGGGCCCAGTCTACCCAATGCGAAGGGGAAACATGCCAGCAGTTTGGGGAGTGGCGTCAAGCTGGCCACATTCACCCAGTTGGCCATGCCTCCCCCGCCCCCCCCCCCCGCGGTCAACCACAGCCCTTATGTGGCTTCAATGAAATTGACACCCCTGCCTTAAACCTTTCAACATTTTATAGATAAATCTGGATCTGCTTGAGATATAGAGACCTATGCTATTTTGGTTATATTTCTGCATGTTTAAATAGCCAGAGAAGTAATGACTTCTGGAAAATGTCTACAGCTTATTTCAAATGACACACTATTGGATAATGCATCAAGGAAACGGTTATGGATGTTGACGAAATTACTGTGGATCTAAGAATACTGTATGTAGCGTAAGTTAGACACTACTCTGTGGTTATCAGTGCTTCTCCATTTCCCACCAATACATGATTGGTGCTTCAAGAAATCAGCTTTAGATTGTTTGTATTTCAACTCTTAAAAAAGCTTTTACAGTTGTTAATCAAAAGACAGTGAAGGAAATTAAATGGATATTTTTTTATATGAGAGAGATATGACAAGGGTCCTTAGGGATCTGTGCTAGAACTGAAGAACCTTAGCTTGTTTATGGATGACCTCAAGTGGTTAAGACAGGTCAAAGTAGCTGACACCATCAAATTATTCAGGGTGGTAAAATCAAAAGGAAATGGCAAACAGCTTTAAAGTGATCCTTCCAAATGTTGCATATGGTCTTTAAAATAGCAAATGTCGCTCAATGTAAGCAAACATAAATTCCTGCTCATTGGCACAAACAACTAAATTTCATGCATTCATTAATGAAATCAGGACTGGCATTAAATGATCCAGAAACGCATCTGAAAAGGTGGATAATTCAGTGAAAATGTAACCTCTCTGGACAGCAGCCAATGATAAAGGAGCGGGAGGCGGCAAACTCTACAATTGGGAATAACGAAAAACAGGATTGGAAATAAAACTGGCAATGCAGTAATGGCTTTATGTACAATTCGTACAATTTTTAACAATATTTATAGTGATCACCAAATCTGAAAAACAACAGAGATGATATAAAATGATTTATGATGGAGAAAATGTACATAAGTTTTCTTCCGCTTTCCCAATGTCAGGATTCTAATTTCATTTATATTAAATTAAATGCAAGGATGACTAGGGATCTTTATGCAACACCAAGCTGAGCGATTAAACTTGGTAAGATTTGGTGATGGTCATTTATTTAGAAGGGGCTAAACAAACACATGGAGGAAACATATCACTATATATTACCCTCTTGAATCAAAGAAAGGTTCCCAAATTCATTTGATTGGCTGCTAGATGTTAAAGGATGCTGGACTAATTTATTGATTGATTGACTGATGTTAAATTATAAATATTAGATGGATCATTGGCCTATGCCATCACAGTTCTTCTTGTACTCTTAGCCAAATGAAAGAAACCATTTGAAATACGCTCAGGAGCTAAATGAGGAAGAAGAAAAAATACCTTGCAGCAACAAACAAACATAGATATGTGTATTTCTACTATCAAACAAATGAATTGAAAATCTACAGATTTTCACGGTCCTTTATCGATATGTTGTATGAATCACCAATTACAATTTGCTTTACAATGAAAAGATTGATTTTCGTTTTAATTTAAAGGAAAAAAATCCTCAGTTCATTTCCAATCTACCAAGAAAGTACAATTACATTGTCAATTTACATTGTGCATTGTTTATGCAACATAATGACATCATATACTACAATGTGACAAAATGCATTATTTAAATGCATTGTGCCATACAACAGGGTATATTATTCTTTTCAAAACCACAGCCATTTACTGATACATACAACATTAATTTGCTATTGTTTATAAAGGGGAATAATTGTCAAAGACAGTTCATAAAAGAAACTACGAGAATTCCTTAGGGATTTCCTTTTTTAGACAACATACAATTTATTGCAATATATCTATAATGCAGTAAATCAATCAATCAATCTATCTATCTATCTATCATCAGTGGAAAAATATTTTCTTTTTTTCCTCAGATGAATGTGAATGTATGTATGCATGTATGTATGTATTCATCTGAGGAATATATATAGGTAGATATAGATATATAGATATTAGATACTAGATATTAGATAAACAAATCTATAATCAACATCTTTTTACAGTGAATCAAATGCTCTTATTTGTTTTTTAAGTAGTACTAGCAAATAATTACATGTGAAATACCCCAGAAGAGTTTATCAATAGCAAAGTTCTAGCAACTAGTTTAAATAGCATTCTCCCAAAATATTTGAACACTTTAATCAAATTGACAACTTATATGTCTATCCATCTCATATTTTCTTTTCATGTAAAACTAGGCACCATGTAGCATTCTTAAAGTTCTAACAGTATTGTCTGCAAACAATCAGATTCCAAAGCAAAAATATTTTCAAAACAAAACTCTAAAAAAATATGCTGTGAAAACATTTATAAAAATAATTTTTCAAACCTTAAAAGAATATAACATTACCTTTTATACATTTGAATGTTATTTATATTGATTTTTTTAATAAAAAACAATTTTATGATACTACAACATGTTGACGATGTACTCTATAGCAATTTTAACAACATCAATGTTATTTTTACTGGCTTCTTGCAAAATATGAACAGCTGCAAACTATATTTCATCTGCGGTTGTCTTAAAAATGATTAGAAATCAAAGTATCAAGTATATTACATTTTCTTCTTACTTCAAATGCTGTTCAACTCCTATTCAAATATTCATAAAAACCCCAACAATTACACACATACACACACACACACACACACACACACACACACACACAAAATATTTCTTTGCCCTGAATTTTCCCCTGACAGTCAAGAAAGCTAAGTAATTTTCCTGTTAATCATTTTTAGTTTTGGAGTATTTCTCCTTCAACAGATGTGCGGAAGTTAAAAAATCTACACCATAACTCATGTATGAATTTAAAACAATGATTTCATTCCTTTAACTGTTCACTGCACTCAGGGAATACTAGTAAGAACATCTAAGATATTGAAGACTAGCCTACTTACTGCTGAAAGCATCAGATAAATATGAGATAATAGGAACTGGCTAAACATCAGTAGTCACAAAATAATAATATTTTATTTTATGTATCATTTTATTCAACAAGACAAGAGCAGAATCTCAAATCAAAACAAATAGTTTTGCAATATAAAATATTATTCATATCTGGCTCTCCATCACTTTATAATTATCTTTTAAGTACAACTTATATGTTAAGGTAAAATAGGTGCCATCACCATTTCAAATTGGTATCACCATACTTGAATAATAAAAGAACCCAGTATTCTACTGTTTAGATTTAACACTATGGTCCCAAACACATTTGTTTTAAGATTAAACTTCAAATTAATCAACAAGGTAACTGAAAATATAGAATACTCTGATTTATTTCAGAGGAAGTCTTTTTATTTTTTAAAAATAGAATAATAATATGCAACAAGGAACAACACACACATGACCATTATTTTCTGCAGGAATTAATTACCCCTAATTTATAAACTTTCTCTTTATCTACCCATATATAGTTTTTACTGCAAAATAATTTAAACTTATGCTAGTAATTAATTAGGATATTGCCCCAAATTCTTCATAAACATATCATTTGTTAATAGTGAAAAATAGGACAATTGGAGGTTTAATAATGCTTTAATTTATTACTATATCCTAGAATTCTTTTGATAATACCTGAAGCCTACTGGTTGACACCTGGAATCACACACAGCAAGAGAGCTATTTGAACAGAATATAGTTAACAGCTCTAATTCAGAAACTTCACTGGAAAAATGAAGATGTCCTTCTATTCTGGGCTCAGACCCATGCATAAATCCCTCGCACAAATCTCTTTTAACATGCAAATCCATAAATCATCAGAATGCTGACAAAGAATTTAACCAGCTTGTGAAACTAATGCATATTCTGTCTGGAGTTGGATACTGATAGAACTATCCAAAACATCACCCATCACCAATTTATTTTTGGTCAAAGGAGAATAATTTATGTAGTCATTTCATTTATCCATACGATGATTAAACGCTCAGGACAATCATTGATATCATTTGTAAATTAGTAACATGACCAATGGCACCTCGTTTACTTAAAGGCACAATAGAAATACCAATAGCAAATTGACAGGGAGTACTTACTGACGATGGTAAACCTGGAGGAACTTTTCGAACTTTCTTTGTTTGTACTTCTGAAAGAGGAAGATAACAGGGGAATGGTGAGAGGCATTTCTGCAGCCTCAGACCTTCACAGTCTGTGATTTAGCATTGAGCTTAGCGTGTCTTTATCAAGTCGTATTAAGACAGTTCAGTAAAAGTTGCACATTAGAAATGTAAGGAAGTAACTCACCAACAGAAGTGCTGTGCAGAGGCCTCCTTCGTGGATTATTGCTAGAATACTGATAGTACTGAGAACCAGGTTTGGTAGGAGAAAGAGTTCCTGGGTTGCCCATTTCCATGTCACCTCCAAGGAGACTTTGCTAAAAGATTTTTGAAAAATAAGTATTGTTATATCTAACTTTTCCCCTATTTCCTTTTCTATATGCTGATTCAAATTAACAGCCAATAATATGTAAGGGTCTGTAACAAGCAAATTGTTGCAAGCAGTCAGTCAAAATGCATTTCAGCGTGACTGTTTTAAATATTACAAAAAGGTTCTTTAAAAAAATAGACAACAATTTCACTATTACTGAAAGGAAATGTTTAAATATTTAATTATTAATTGAATTTATTTTTTTCTGCTTAATGATGAGTATCTCTTTTTAATTTTATTATCAAAAGATCCAGAATTCCTTATTTTTCTATATTATTTAGGATGAATAAAATACATTGTGTTCTTCAATACAACTTTTTAGTCTAATACTAATGAGCAACCGCCAAACGATTTCATTCTGAAGAAATAATCATTCTAAAAAACGCGTTTGTGTCCAATAAAACTATTTTTAAAAGTGGCTTATAGTTACCATAAAAATGTGCCAATCAAGTATATGGTCATTGAAGAAGCCCTCAGAATAATAATATATATATTTTATTGAAATTAACTGTTGTTTGGCTACATTTTTTGGAACAAGGAACAGAGATTGAGGAAAAAATAGTGAACAGAAGTTATTTTAAAAGCTACTTCAATATCATACTGTTACAATAAGAATGTTAGCATCCAGAAATACAAAAAGTACTTACTTATGAATGGGTAATAGTTACTACTAATCCAGAAGAAATGGAATCTGAGCACAGTAACAAGGAAAAACCCGAGTCTGACATTTTCTAAAAATTCTATTACTATAACTACATTGCAACTTACCCATAATATATAAATCCCCTGATTATACTCTGCACTGAACACATTGTTCTTTTAATTTTTCTGATATGCAATAAAACAGGTGCAGATACTACCATTTATATGATGAAGAAATTTCCCATTTAATAAAGAAATTTCAAAATTAAGTACCAAAAATCTAACTTTATCGTTACTTGTAATCAACTTTTACTGACTGAACTAATTACTGTACTTGATAAAGTACAGAATGTGTTTTCCCTAATCTAAATTCTAATCACCATGTCACTCACAACAGACTTAGTAATGCTTCACTAACACACTATTCACATGCAAAACACTCTAAATAGGCCAATTATGACTCTGCCCCTGTTCCCTGGTTAACCCGCTGAGAACTGAAAAATTTCACAAGACAGTCACCAACTAAAACAAAGACTCCTTGTTTTAAATTAAGGCAGTCTTTTTGATTCCTAAATAGTTCAACAAAGTACCATGTCTTTGTCTGAAAGCAGTTGGTCAAATATGACCTATGAGCTGGAAAATATATTGGAAAAAATAAGTAAATAAAATAAAATTTAAATATAACTTTTGCATCCTTGGAATATACGTATATTAAATGTCTTTCCCTAGAAAAGCAAATCGTAAATTTGTTAGTAGTAACTTACAATCGAGACTATATGTACTGAACCTTTATTTCCAATTTTATACGAAGTCAGAAAGGAGTTTTTCACATCCAGAACTCAAAATAGGAAAAGCATTAAAATCATCTTCTTTGTAGTTCTTAAAAGACAGTAATAATGGTTGCTTTTGGACCAAAATAGGGAAATTGAGAATATGCTGTGCTAACAAACAGTTTCAAGCAAATTTATTCATTAACGTTGATTGTTTCTATATAATAAAACTTATTGAACTTTAGTATGGAAAGCCCACTGGAATACATCTTAGGAATCAGACATGTTAGAATATGCATCTTATCAATTAAATGATTTCTGTGGACATGTATCGTCTGTCTGTTAAACAGCCAAGTTTAATTTTTGATATGACTATGGGGAAAAAATTAGTTGCAAGTCTAAAAAAAACAAACTCTTTGGGAAAAAAAGACAGAAGCATGCACATAATAAACATACATAGAAAATGGTTCCAAGCCACAGTTTCAATTATTTAATTGTATTCTAGCCACTTTGTAAAGTAGTTCACAAGTTACTACTTTAGCTACACAAGCCTTCAGTTCACAAATATGCCAAAATACTCTTTACGTTGTGATGCTTTGTAGATGAAATGTTTGCTATGAAAACTCTGTGGACTACTTTACTAGATAGATGCAGTATTTATCAAGCACAGTATGATATATACACAGGATAAGGCCATGTGGATCTGATGGAGTGGTTTGTAATCCATGACACTTCTAGGATTTTAAGTCATCAGGAAAAATATAAATATAATACTCCCAAAAAAGGGTCTTCAAAATAAGATGCCAGTCACACAGACCAGCATATAGTAGCCCTGACTATAAACAAAAAATTAAACAGCACTATATTCCATTTTTTAAAAAAGAGTACATAAAAGTTACAAAACTTTATTAAAAGGCAGACCATAGTGTGGCATGGCAAAACCCACCCATTTTATTTTTCATTCAAGAAGTGTATTTATATTTTGCAAAATATTAGATGATATATAATAACCAAGCATCTTTGGAATATATAAATTTGTGTATGTTTAATCAATGCATCCAAGGAGGGCGGGGGAAGGGACGGTAGCAAAACATTACTAGCTTATCCTTCCAGCTTTTCACTTAAGTGCCTCTAATGTGGTCTTTATTTAAGTCTTTGTTTTTCATTGGAACAGCTAAGTCATTCTTCTGAGGCAACAAAACATGCATTTATGTGCTCTTGTGGGGGCTTCTCTAAGTACTCCACTGGGGAGAAAGAAGATAAATATATATCTATTCATTCTGAGGTACTCGTAAATAGAACAACAACCCCTCTACTATTGCTCAATCATCGCTAACATCTTTTAGCTGAAGAACGCTGAAAAATCATGAGGCCACCATTTAACATTTGAGCTTTCTCAACTTAAAAAAGGATAATCAATTATGAAATTCAAAAGCTAAATTCTAAGAATTCATTTTCATCTACAAAGGCCTTGGAGTTTGGTTTCTGCACACAAACACACACACACACAGAGACAGAGAGAGAGAGAGAGAGAGAGAAAGAGAGAGAGAGAGAGAGAGAGAGACAACCTTTAGTCAAACAATTGAATTGTTCAATGTTTTCTATTCATTATTGTTATTGTGTTCCACTGCTTTAACAGTGGAATAACTGTTTGAAAATTTATATATATACTACCACATTGAAGTTCATTTCTGGAAAGTTACTTGAAGCACTCTGAATTAGGAAGGCAAGGTAGAAATATTTTAAAAGAATATATATCAGGTGAAACTTTGGGTTAGGTTCTACATGGCCCTTCTGCTAAACCTCCATCTGCAACGAAGTGTGTGACTTTTACACAATGCCCTCAAACACAAAAGTGATTTCTGCAATACCTAGGAAAAAGACAATGAGCAGGGCATTTATGGAAGAGCTCTAAGGCTATGATTCACCAGAGAGTATAGGAGTAGAATATGCTCAGCTTTCACAACTTACACTAAATATTTTTCTAGCCAAAAGACAGATGTCTACTAAGAGAATACAAGCTCAGGAATTGGTTAAAAGCACAGCCAAAGACACAACAATAACTGTAATCGTAAATGTGTCACCCATACCCCTCAGTATGAATGAATGTTAGAATATATTTAAAAGTTGTTTTGATATAAAAACTTGAATTCCTTTATAAGGTTGATTATGAGCTTGCTATATATAATGCAACTTATTTGGGACCTTTCTTCTTTCCCTTTTTTCTTTCTTTCTTTAGTTCCTTTTTTCTTTCATTTTAGTCTTTATTTTTTATCCTGCCCCAGCTTTAAAAGTCTCACCTAAATATATGAAATTATAAATTAAAGCTGAATTTTAAGAATATGTCAAATTTTAAAATAGAAAAATAGAGGTTGAGTGTTAGCATTCTCAATGAAAATAATTGTTTGAAGCTAAATAAAGTTTTATTCATGCAAGTACAATGTAAACATATTTTTCCCAACTATAATACAAGGAAATACACCCCTCCTCCATACTCATTCTTAATATGGATTAAAATGGGTTGAGTGCTGCCTTTCGTAATGAATAATTGATTTACAGAAAAATAAATGCCCTTGAACATAAGGCACATTGAAAGAAATTAATATAGTTAAAAAAAAAAACAATGAGGAAAGAAAAGAGATTGAAAAAAACTTTCTGGCAAAGGGCCTGTTGACTGGACTTCCTGGAATGAGTTCCTTTCTCTTTCTCATGCTTATTAAATTCTGATCAGATATCAAACTACTTCATGTAGAACAGAGAAAAACAGTCTTATATGAAACCAGATTACATTTCTTTTCTAAGCACTTGTCAAATTATTGCGAGCTGAGTACGTATTTGGGCCTTTTAGCACACTAACCAGCTACATTTCTGCAGTACCTTCACCACATATGTCATCTATTGTGACTGTGGGCCATATTTTATTCTCCATTTATGTAGTAAACAAAACATTACACATTAAAGATTTAAAATACTGGACAAAGTTGCATTAGAGTGAAAGGTAAGTAAATAGATGATATCTCCTAAGACTTGTCAATGCTATATGGTCCTGCTGTAACTCTTGTCTTCAATATAGTCCTGAGGGCACAACTAGCAACTAAGTTTTAAATCAGTACTGTTTAAGAGGTCTATCAAAAGAAAAACGTCATTATCATATAATTATCATATCATTTAATTTGCACATCCAGGAAAGTGTAACACAATGAAAAAAAACTGTTTTTTCTTGAATTAAGTGAACGAAGGAATCAACCTAGAGTTTAGCAACATTGGGGAAACAACAGCACTATTATGATAAAGACAGTTTTAAAAAATGACTTATAAAATATCTTTAGGTAAAGAAAAATTATATCCTATCTTCTCAGCCATATGAATACTCCAGTAGGTGTCACTAGGCATTTCTATAATATGTTGAATGGAAAGGAGAATGTATATCAGCACCATTATTACAAGAAAACCAACAGTCCTATGCATATTTTCTGGGATTAAAAAAAAAAAAATCCAGCATGTTTAATGAGATTTGTACAAATAATACACTTCA